TGTGCGGGATGCCCCTGGGCTGGACTCGATTTCTGGTTTCTTTTTGATCTGTTTGGGTTGCTTGCAAGCGGGGAGAGGCCGTGGAAGGGTTTCTTTGCTTTTGACCTGTTTGTGCGCTAGCCCAGTCTATCCACTTGCGGCGTGGCAAGGCTATTCTGTGGGGTTTCTTTTTGACCTGTTTTGGGTGCCAGGATTGTTTTGCGAAAGGCCGTGACAGGGCAGTTTGGGCACCTGTATAGGGTTGCTTTTTGAGCTGACTTTTTTTTGGGGGGGGGCTTCGTTTTGATCTGTTTGGGCGCTAAGCTTTTTGGGCGACCGGAACCTGTGTAGGTTGTTCACGAAACAGCTTTGCTGTGAGGGGTCCTCAATTCCCTGGGGCCAAGATGCTTCCCACCCCTTTGTCTCCCCTTGTCTCCCATGGCGTGTCTGGATGCTGGGCTGAGATGATTTTGTTTTGTTTCCCTTGGTCTCCCTTTGCTTCCCCTTGTCTCCCATGGTGTGTCTGGATGCTCGGATGCTGGGCTGATTTGTCTCCCTTCGTCTCCCCTTGTCTCCCATGGCGTGTCTGGATGCTGGCGTGGGTTCGCTTTGCTTTGTTTCTCCTTGTCTCCCCTTGTCTCCCATGGCGTGTCTGGACGCTGGGCTGAGATGATTTTGCCTTCGTCTCCCCTTGTCTCCCATGGCGTGTCTGGATGCTGGGGTGGGATCGCTTTGCTTTGTCTCTCCTTGTCCCCATGGCGTGTCTGGACACTGGGCTGAGATGATTTGTCTCCCCTTGTCTCCCACAGCGTGTCTGGAGGCTGGCTGAGATGATTTTGCTTTGTTTCCCTTTGTCTCTCTTTGCTTCCCTTGTCTCCCATGGTGTCTGGATGCTCGGACGCTGGGCTGAGATGATTTTGCTTTGTCTCCCTTTGTCTCCCATGGCATGTCGAGATGACTTTGCCTTGTCTCCCCTTGTCACGTTTCGGGTTGCAAGCGGGATTGCGAAAGGTTGTGACAGGGCGGTTTGGGCACCTGTGTAGGGTTGCTTTTTGACCGTTTGGGCGCTTGCCTGCGAGTGGGGAGGCCGTGGAAGGGCTTCCTTTTGACCTGTTTGGGTGCTAGCCTGTGCGCGGGAAGCCCTAGGCAAACTTGTCGAAACAGCGCAGTGCAAAATAATACCTGCGCCCCAAACCATGTCAATAAAGAACCTTAGGAGGCACGGCCCCAAATGACCGGGTCCGTTTGAAACGCTGGCACCTCAACAGGTCAAAAAGGAACCTTGGGAGGCACTGCTTCCAAATCTACCAGGTCCGATTGAAACCCTGAGTCGAAACAGCGCCCAAAACAGGGCAAAAAAGAACCTTGCGTCCCAAACCATGCCAATAAAGAACCTTGGGAGGCACGGCCCCACATGTACCGGGTCCGTTTGAAACCGTGGCGCCTCAAAACAGGTCGAAAAAGAACCTTGGGAGGCACTGCCCCCAAATTTGCCAGGTCCGTTTGAAACACTGACGCAAACTTGTCGAAGCAGCGCCCAAAACAGTGCAAAAAAGAACCTTGCGCCCCAAACCATGTTAATAAGAACCTTGGGAGGCCCCGCCCCAAATTTACCGGGTCCGTTTGAAACCTTGGCACCTCAAAACAGGTCAAAAAAGAACCTTGGGAGGCGTTGCCCCCCAAATCTACCAGGTCCGTTTGAAACCCCGAGTCGCAATAGCGCCCGAAACAGTTCAAAAAAAGACCATGCGCACCAAACCAGAACCTTGGGAGGTACAGCCCCAAATGACCGGGTCCGTTTGAAACCTTGGCACCTCAAAACAGGTCAAAAAGGAACCTTGGGAGGCACTGCTCCCAAATCTACCAGGTCCGTTTGAAACCCTGAGGCAAACGTGTCGAAACAGCACCCAAAACAGGGCAAAAAAAAACCAAGCCCAATCCGCTGTCACCAGGCGGGCCACTCAAAGCACCTTCCTCAAGTTGATGGAGGAGGGGCCGCTGCCCTGGAGTCTCAATCCAAACTGCAACGCAAAGGTGCCCATGTTTGGCTGGCTACTTGTATATAGCAGGGAGTGATTTTTGTGATGCTCATGTTCTCCTTGAAAGGGGACACTCAGAAGTCAAGGAGCTGGGTCTTCTACAATGATTGATGAGTCATTGACGGTTCAATGTAATTATAAACGATATATTGCTAATTTGTAGCTGGAATTTGTGTTTTATCTTCGGATGCGGGGCAGCCAGTGAGCAGCACGAAGGCAACCAGCAGCAACAAAAACGCAGCAATATGGGACTAGTGGAGAGAATAAGAGACCAACAGAAACAAAGCAGCCCGGACTCGTACACTCATGAACATATATGAAAGTCACCTCTAACCACCTCAGATCTCACGTATTTTCACAGTGTTCCACTTTCATGTGCCACTTGTAGATCGTATCTTGATCAATGTTGGATCTCATCGGGGGTTGACTAAGGTAAGGCACGACTTGAGGTCGCATCGCACGGGAAGTCCTGGGGTTCCGTGTCATCGACAACCACCGAACTTCGAGATCTGTGGCCAGGACACGGAAGTCACCGTGGCGTCGCCGAATCGGATGATGCTGGGCGCGCTCGAGAAGGGCGTGAAGATGTCCACCAGGCGGTTACGTAAAGACCCAACAACGCATGCTGGGGGATGGAGGTTTGAGGGAGACCCCCCCAAGCAAGGCTGGTCTTATGTTTTTCTCCCAGGGGATGAACATTCTAGGAGGTTTGCCCTTTTTTTTTTTCAATACACGCCATTAAAGGCACTTGCTTCAATGGGTTTGGAGTCTGATTCAAAAGGAGCTCCCAAAGACTGGACTCAACTCCTTTCAACGCCACCTGATGAAAAACCAGAACCGGGCCAGGACTCGAAAAAGAATCGAAACCTGACTGGATGCTTGGAAGATGGATGAAGATGGAAGTTTTCCCCTTGTTCTTCTCCCCAATCGGTTCGCGCTGGTATGCATGTATGTATACATGATTGCATGATACATGGAGTTCTTGCTCCTTGCAGAGGGTACCCGCAGAAGGTGTATAGATCTAGAACATGAAATATAAGAAAACAAAGTCCAGAAACGAATGAATGAATCCAACTCAATTGTATCGACTCGATGCAGGCTTGGAACCCTGGCAATGCACCTTGTGTCCGCAAATGACACACACGCTTCAACACGCTGCTTTGCCGTTGCCATGGGTTTCGTTCGTTTCTCGTTCTCTTCGCTTCTCCGCCGAACGAATCTGAGTCGAACGAGCGAAGGCACCTAAGAGGTAGAATGGCACTCGGAGCCGTGGAGGACGCTGGTTCGGCCGTGGGGAAGACGACGAAGACCGTCACTGACGTGCCATCCACGGCGCTGGCCACGTAAGTGGGAGGGCATGGGTAATTATGCCCTGCAGTGGCAGGCATGTGTTGTTCGTGTTCTCCGGAGCCTTCAGCCAGCTGGACGAGAAGCTGAAAGAGGAGTCAGAAATGGGGCCGTGAGGTGGGCAGAAGGTCGAATGATCAGATACAACTCCAAGTACTCTCCCTGGAACTAACACGGAAGTTGAAAACCTCCTGTTTGTAGAGGAAGATGGTCTTCCAAAAGGGGTGATTTTCCACTTCCATGTTAGTTCCAAGGAGTGTAAGACCCACAGGGACCTGGGCCGGTTTGGATGGTTGTCCGTTGTCCGGACATGCGGATGTGAGGGACATGGTGTACACCATGTTGGATCCACGGGGTTTGCACCAGTCGGTCCGATGCCATGGCACCCTGGCTGCCACTTTTCATCCGATGTTTTGAGGAGTTCTGGGCCGGAGTGCATGGCTATGGACACTGCTTGGCTAAGTTGTGAAACAAAAAAGAGAAAAGGCCACAGAGGTTTAAACATTTGTTCAAATTTTGTGTAAAGCCGGTTTCTTGTTTCAATTTTGTATCCACCCTCATGCTGGATCTGAAACAGTCAACTCCCCCGTCTCCTAGAAAACAACCGAGGGAGAGTCAATAGAGATAGCTCCCCCAAAACGATCCTGGGCTCCCTAGAAGGTGGTGGTGCTGGTGGTGGTGGTGGTGGTGGTGGTGGTGGTGGTGGTTGTGGTAGAAGTTGATAAAAGATGTAGCAACGTAGTAGTAGTAGTAGTAGTAGCAGGAGGAGTAGTAGTAGTAGTAGGTAGTAGTAGTAGCAGGCGTAGGAGTAGGAGTAGCAGTAGCAGTAGCAGTAGCAGTAGGAGTAGGAGGAGGAGCAGCAGCAGCAGTAGCAACAAAGGATTTTGAAGGGAACCAATAGCTGAAAAATGTAAAGCCAAGCTGACATATTTTTTCCAAGGGCTCCAAGTGTTCGCATTGTTCCCACCCCAAAACGATTCACCCAATTAATTTCAGGTCCGGAGGGCTCGTGATGGGCCGTTTTCGGTTGAATACTTCTTTGGGGCAATTGATTTGCGGAGTTTGAGCACGGGGTTTTGAAAAAGGTTGGTCAGATCATGTCAGATCAGAGTTCTAGGACTCAAGCAAAGTCTAAACAATAGGATCTTCAAGGGAACAATCGAAAGCTTAGCTCAAACCAAATCAAGTAATCACACTTTAATCAAAAGGACGATATATCTGACCATTTGGAAGTCCACAGATGTTCTGAAGTCAATAGCAAGCCTTAGGCCGCCAGTGTCAGGAGTACAAGAAGGACATGAAGGGCTTTGGCTTCACCAACAGCGGGTCCGACCAGCTGGAAGAGGTCCAATCCATGCTGCACAAGGCGCACCACACGTCGATGGGGACGTTCGAGTCGGACGAGAGGTTTCATGGGAACTGGGGACGGACGAGAACCAAACCAGATCTTTCGCGGTGGGAGCTAAACAGATCGAGCGGTGCACCCAAGGTGTGACGGTGTTTTTTTGCTGAACATCTGAGATGGGACATGCATGGGAAATGCGAACGAACATCATCTCTATAGTGTTTGTGAAAGACCCCAGGTCAACTGCCTGCTGAGCCGGATTAGACGAAGGACACCCGACCGGTTGGACCGGGACGGCGCCGTTGGACCACACGGCGCCGTTGTTTTTTTAACTGCTATTCTTTGGAGAATTGCATGGAGTCCATTGCTGGGGGCATCCTTGGAAGTTCAGGATCTCTTTGTGCAAGGGTGTGGGATGGTGACTTTGAAGAGCTCAGAGCATAACTATGAGGTACCGGACTGAGCTCATGCTGACCCCTGGCCCAAGCTCTTGCGTGGGACACCTCTTTCGGGTCTGCTGTGGCATTTTGTGGTCGGCATTCACTCGAGCCCGTCCGCAGGCAGACACGGTGTCCTGGATGGATTCAGGTCGGTTCTTGCGGGGCCCGGAAAACACCTTTGGAGAGGTGGAACAGTCGGTGAGCAGTGTCGGAGACCCTTGGGCTTGAAGATCCCCCTCTCAGATGGGTTTTCTCATCTCTTCCCAGAGGAGGGTTGGATTACAGTATGTGTATAATTCATGTTGAGTTGAGGATAGCATAACCTTGGGCTGGTTGGCATGATTTGGGCCGGTTTCTCACTTTACTATAGGTGCATGTGTTCGTGTGAAGATGTCTTCTTGGATAAGACTACATGAAATACTTACTGTTTTTTCACATGGACATGCTCATTCATGACCTCTATCCACTAGGCAACAACGCTCACCAACGGAAGGATCTCCGGTCGGTCGCCGCAAAACCCACTCGACTTGACCGGAGTCCTTTTGGCGCGAGCGACGACTCGGTCCGACCTCCGACCGCACATTTCGTCGACGGGGCGGTCGACGTCGCCCAGGACGAGTTGGTGAAAGCAGGCGTCTCAACCCGCGGAGGGTGGTGAGGAAGGCAAAAGCAGGGAGGTCTGGAGGTGTGGAGGTCTGGAGGTGTGCACGAGCATGCCTATCATGCCTTCCCTACTTCATCGTATTTCTGAGGGCTACGGGCTACATTACATCAAGGAAATACGATGATTTCGTGCAATGTGCAATAATCTGGGACAATCACTTTTGGCATCTTTTGACTATCCTTGGGTCCTCATAGAAGCAACTTCAGAGTGTTTGAACTGACTTGACTTATCCAAGGAAGAGGCGGGAGGCGGAAGGAACGTGGGCTGTGACAGGACTTGAGGCTGACTAGGCTCAATCTCATGTAGCCAAATGCCTGAATCCATGATGTGATATCGGAACAAAGCGCAGCAGATTCCCTTTCAGGCCCTGCCTCGACTTTTGGAGATGATAGAGTCTGATAGAGAACGTGTTCAAGAAACAACAACGAATCCACAACTTGTTTCTCCGCGATCCGTGCAGCTTTGAACGGCCCCATCACGTCTTCCTGCAGCTTGGGCGCCCACGCTCGGACCGACCTCCTGGTCCTGGTGGCTCACCGAAGCCCGCGCTCGCCGAACTCGGAAAGCGCTCTTCCAGGTATGGAGAGGGAATTCGTGGGAAGGCTTCCGGTGCGAGTGGCACTGCAAGCCTTGTCGCAGGATGACCTGTTCCAAGTCCTTACGAAGCTTGGTGCGATCCGACCTGGACATCGACGTTTGTCGATGTCCAAGACACATGTGTCAAAGCTTGTGAGTCTAGTTGAGTCGCAAGCTTTGTATTCCTTAAAGACTCAAGGTGCTTGGAATTTGCAGAGTGTTTAGCTTGCACTTCCAAGCTTGTTCCATTTGTAGAGCAAGAGAGAAGCCATGTTGCTGTCGTGTATTTTTAGGACTATTATTTGAACATGTCGAACCATCTCACCCCACCCCTATACCGTGTTGCTGTTCGTTTGGTCCAGGAAAGCAGAAGATGGAGCCACACGGCCAGCAAGCAGAGCAAGGTTTGTGGATTTGGGGGCAGCAAACAGCTGGGTGCGGCTGACGTTCCGCACATGCGAATAGGGTTGCAAAATGTTGCAAATATATAATCGACCCAACCTTAGGAAATTCATCAGGGCCGCCACCCTGAGTACGCGAATTGATATTTCTTGATTAATTTATCAACGTATCAACGTCGTGTAAAATCACAGAGGTGTACAGTGTACTCCTCAAAAAAATTGGAAAATTAAGCAAGGTTCCTGTAACAAAAAGTTATATGCCGAGACTCAAACTCAACAGGAGTCTAATTAATGCTACTTAGGCTAATTGGGATGGATTGGAATATGTGGGGGTGGCCTGATTATTTTCTCGCAGCTGTCACTCATGTGACAGAGAAATAAAGACAGGGTGTGACAGGAGTTAACCACTAGTGGATTAAGTGTTGGATACGTGCTGCAGGGAGCATGCTCAGAAAATATAAATCACATAAACTCGATATGACGTCCACTATACTGTACTATACAATATATGAATATCAATATCAAATCATTAATAGAATACACTAGATACACAACAGATCAATTGGAGCCGACCTCAGACCTGGGGAAAGGTGCTGAAAAGAAGCGCGCAACAGTATATTGAATAATTGAATATTTATCAATAGGTGGTCATCTCATGTACTTTGGATTTGATCTTTGCATAGGCTCGATTGATTACAACAAATTGAGGTCAAGGTTTGTTGGATTAATACACTCGACCCTACCTATACTCGAACATCCATTGATTAATTAACACCCTTTTTGTTTAATCAAACACTTGCAAATGTTTCAATTAATTAGCTCAGGTACCCAATGGTACTCAGATTAACTAAAAAGTTAATCCTGGAGGGCCCCCCTCTAAGATCTCTACGGGAGTGAAGATCAATATATATATATATAATTATATATATAGGTTCTTGTTTTACTTGATGCATTTGAATCAGGGTTGATTCCCTGTATTTCATCAAAGGCATTCAAAAAGCACGTTCGTGCTATCAGTTTCTTCTTCCTTTCGCCTTCTTCTTTGAATCAGCTTGTTCTGTTGAGCCTTCTTGTTTGACCAGCGGACCAGTGGACGACTCGTCGGTCTTGTCCGAGACGTCCACTCCGGCATGATCGGGGTGTTCTGCAAATACGGTTGGTGGGGAACCAGGCTGACTCAAAACAGTACAGGTCACTTTCGCTTCGGCTCCAGGGCCCAGGGCGTTCTGTGACGTGAATGAGGCAACTGCGCAGCTCACCGATGACTTCCGTCGCTATGGCATTGAGTGACTTGGACAGCGCCGCTCCGCTCGGACCGCGGTGCGGCGTCGTTTGGAGACGAACTCGTCTGGCCGTGTCCACGGGGTGCCCCGTGTCCGTTTGGAAGCGGGCCTTTCAATTACGAAGACCAGTGGTTTAATTGGAGAACCATGCTGGAATGATGTCAAACTACACATGGCAGACTTTGGACAAGGCAGTGAAGACCCATGGAAACTCAGAGACCCACGGAAGACGATTTTCCTTCACAAGACCAGTGTTTTTTTAACGTTCTGCGCTAGTTCGGAAGCGTGTATTCTGAATGATTATGTCACTATGTCAGTCAGGATCAAAAAGGTGTGTTTTTGTTGGAATCTCTTTTGTGGCTTGACTGGGAAGTAATTAACCCATACACATGTGACATCACGCAGTGTTTCGTCGAAGATCTGGTATTTGTCCGGACCCGTAAGTGTCTCAAAGGTGAGCTGTTTGATTCGTACGCTAACTTCCCCGCCCAGCGCGCTTTGGGGTTCGACCCAGTCGAGCCACTCGTCTGGGTGAAACGTCTATCGAGAAGGATCCGAGGTGCCATGGTGTGAAGCCCAGCCTTCGGTGTTAGGATATGACAGACGAACCCCCCCCAAATTCAGCATGTGAAATCCTCATGCCGATCCCATATCCATTTGGGGTTCTAAAGAAGTTGACCTATCCCCAAATTGAAGAACAAGAGCACATCGCCCCACATAGCTCCTTTTTACACACAATCGGGTGGCCCGAAACCGAACCAAACCAACTGAACTGCACGCCGCTCTCATCCATCCCTCCCAAGTTTGACCCCTCCAATTCCAAGAGAACACCATCGACAATCCCAACGATCAGACCCCTGACATCAACGACTGCTGACCCAAATATAACAGTTGAATAGAGTTGATACTGTAATTGTTCCATGTTGTTTGCAATAATGTATGAGTTCTTGATTAATAACACCAGCCATTTGAATTGAACATCCTCTTCTGGCCTGGGGGGTGTATGGTTCCCAAGAGTCTACATTCTTGTCTGAGTTCTTGATATGGCTTGCCGAGCTGCTCAGTCCGAGGCTCCGCTTCTCCGAGCCGGCCCTGCGGGCAGTAGCTGCGAAGGCGGCCAAGGAGGGCACTGGTGCCAGAGCCTTGGTGTGGGAGCTTAGTCTCAAACGGGAAGAACTGGACATTGGGACGCGAAAATGCTGGGGAAGATGGGAGGATATTGTGCTCGCATCATAGATCAGTACTGCAGATGATTTCCGGCTCCTTCGACAGTCAGACACGAACTCGTGTGGGATGGAGGTTTTTTTTGGCATCATATACGGTCGAGTTGTTTGTCACGGCGCCCAGAAGTTCGGTTCGAAGCGCTGGAGAGGGCGAGGGCCCACAGTTTCGATATGTCCGCCCCTTGCGAGTAATTCTCCATTTTTGTTGGTGAGTGCGGCCGTGCACGAGCAGTTTGCAGGTGTTTTTTTGTCCTGCAGGCGGAATCGGCAGAATCCTAGAGGTTCATGCAAAGGAATCCCCGGCAATTTGATGGGTCAACAGCCAAGCTCATACAATGCCAAGGTCACCATCCTCGAGAACACCTTGCAACTTGGCACTCTCAGCTGTTTAGGTACTTGGGTTGTTGATCCAATTCCTCCAAGTTGTATCAATACAATTCCACGATTTTGGTTTGTCTCAAACGAGTTAGACTCAGCATACTGGCGCCATGGTGATACATCTGACATCATTTGATTGAGTCGCCCAACGGCTGGCTTATTATTCCTGGTGTCTCGAGTGTATTTTAATTACTCAAGTTGGATGGTGTAAACGTTGCCAAACTGCAGGTTTTTTTTTTCAGTCTGAATGCCACTCCCTGAGTGTCTTGACACCAACAGGAGGCGCTACAAGTACAGAATGCCCGCGCTGGTGCCACGAGGGTGCAGGGTGCTCGAGGTGAGGGACAACTTGTTGTGCACACGGCACATGGCAATGGTCTATACTCAAAACCAAGAGATACCCATTTGGGAAGTTTGTTTTCAGTAGGACAGTATTTTTGGAAATTAAGTGAAGCATTTGACATTTGTGCAAGTCGTCACGTTCCATTTCGGACACACTAATTTGATTGGTTGGGAATCTGACGGGCAGATCATGGATGCCACGGATGTTACCCCAACCTCCGCGAGATTCGATCAATTGCAGGGTCCTTGAGGGGTTTTTGATGATCAAGAGGCAATAGTTCTTTTGATCACGCTCTCCTAATTGGGGATTTGTATCCAAACCCATGAATATATCACAAAATTATAATAGGTAATTTGATGTTGTGTTCGAGGAAGATTGAATTGAATTTGCCACATTGACCACATTGCAGGTGGAACCTGATTTAATCGAACGTCCTGAAGAAGAATTACAACGATTGATTGAACAATATTCTGAAGCAATTCAATCAAAACAAAAGCAACATGATATTTTGCACTTCAATCAAAATGATTCCAAAAAAACAATATATAATTGATATACATTGATATTAAATATTGAAAATTATTAATAAATATGGATTATTTAATATAGATTATTTTTAATATATAGATTATTTTAACATAAAATTATATAAATATTGTGAATATATTATAATTATCTATTTTTTTGAAGGATAAAGATAAATGAAAAGGTTGAAATATATATATATATATATTATATTGGATTAATATTATATAATTAAATGGATATTTTATGTTTGATTGTTTTTAGGATGAGATGTTTGTGTTTGGGATATTTTATAAATGAAATTTTTGTTATTTATAAAAATATATTGTTTGGGAATATTTGTTTTTGATAAATATAAATTAGATTTATATTATTGAATTTATATAATGATTTCGATAATGATGGTTTTATATATAGATATGGATTGAATTGGAAATATGGTATATTGTTTATTTTTTTTTTTAAATATATTAAATTTTTAAGCGCCATTTCTAATTCATTTCTAGTTTAAGTGTCCGCGGTCGCGTTTGGGGGGCCAACTGCCATAGATTTTGTGGTTTTCTTTCTATAAATTGGCATGTGGTTCTTTTCGCTATTTATCATAGCCGCTTTGCTCTATTAGATGTCCACAGAACTGGATCTCCCGGTCCTAAGTCCGGGAGGGTTGAATTCCGATGGACCGCCATTTGTACCACAAGGATTCGAGCATGGCGTGAGGGTTGCTAACCTTTCTTCACGGATTGGCGATAGTGCAATGCACTCCCATGCACCTATTAAGACATGCACGAGAGCCAATGAAGTCTGGGCGATGTTTGGCTACGGCCAGTTGGTGCACCAGTCTCGAATTAGGCGTATCAAACGTTCATTTCGTAGGGCATGCAAACGTGCATTACAAGCTGGACACACTAGCTACCATGGCAGATGCTTCACAGAATCCGACGTGCCATTTCGATTGCGAGGTCCTTTGAAGGCTGAAATACAGAGGTCAACATTGCAACCTCACTCTCGACCGGCACAACAATCTGGTGTTGTTCTGAAGATTCTCTCTTGGAATGTCACACGATGCTTGAATTACCATGAATGGTTAGCTTGGGCCACGGGCCGCCCAGAAGATGTACTCTTGATTCAAGAATCCAACTGGAAATTCAATGGACAATGGGAAATTGAACATTGGTATTGCATCCACTCTCAAGAGGCCGCTGCAAGCCAACTTATCATGGTCCGCAAAACATTGATCCGAGCATCCATGTTGGCGTATGCGGTGGTGATTCTAGGCAGACTGTTGCATCTTCGTTTGATGCTGGACCGAATCCATGATGTATACACAATATATCAGACGGCCTGGAGCACGACCAAGTCAAGCCGTGCTCTGTTGCAAGAAAGGCAGGACCTGTGGGGGAAACTCCGTCAGTGTATTCAACATACTCCTCAAAGCCACATGATGGTTGTTATAGGAGACTTCAATTGTCCGCTACAACGCGATTCGCAATCCATTGGCAGTCATGATCCACGCTTTGACCAGGCACTTCAAACTGATAAACATGACTTCCAACTCATGATTCGTGAATTATCCTTGGTTGCTGTTCATTGCAAGCAGAAATACGTCCCCACCTTTCTGCATGGTAGCCATCAGACCCGAATAGACTTCGCTTTCATGCGATCCAATCAGATTAGGTGGAAACACATAACTGCTTCAATTGACTGTCGATTTGAGCGCATTGGTTTGCATCAGGGACCACAACATCGTCCGCTACTCCTTGGCCTTCCCCGGTGGCATCCGATCCGATCCGCTCCTTCGAAATTTGTTTCTATCGATCGGTATCGAATTCGTCAGGAGATGATCGCTGACACAACAGCATGGAGACACTTTGTCGTGGCAGCCCAGAGCTGTATCCTCAGACATCAGTCATCTAAACTGACCTGTCCGATTGAAAACTGCTATTCCATGGAACATGATCTTAGAGAATTGTGTCTTGAGCATTTTCCACGTCAGAAAAAACAATTTTCTTCTGACAAGACTGTGGTATCCCTAACGGCCCGTATGTGGCATGCACGTCGACAGGCTAGACAGGTTCTGTACGTTCATGTTCGCACACTATTTCACAGTTGGAAACACCTCACCATCTTTACGCGTTTGCATGCTCAGATTCGTAAATTTGGTAAGATCAATAAACGTCTCAAGCTAGAACAATTCTTGAAGGAGAATGTTCCCCATGCTTTGTCAAATCGCATGCACGATTGGTATCGCAACATTCGTAAACTCTGTCCTAAGCAGCCTTTTCGTAAGATACAATTGCATGATAGGTTTGGCACCCCTCTTCTTCCGCACCAGGAACTTGCTGTTCTTGTTGATCACTTTGGCACAATGTTCCATGATGAGCATTTTGAGTTAGCACCTGCTCCGTTGAACTCCATACCATTCACTCAGGAACAGGTTGCACTGGGCCTCTCCAAACTTCCTGCTACGAAGGCCCTTGCTCCGGATGGGATGCCAGGATTGATTTGGAAAGTCTTCGCACACGACATTGCAGCAGTTGTTTACCCCGCCATCGAATGTGCCTGGACTCAGTCAGGAATTCCCCCCTCACGTTGGGCCACAGGATGGCTGCATCTCCTCAGTAAGCCCAATAAACCTCCCAACCATCCTGCTGCGCTTCGACCAATTTGTCTTCAGCACCCAGTCAGTAAGATACTTTCGGGCATTCATTGTGAACAAGTGTTAGAACATGCACTTCCATCCCTATGCCGGGTTCCCCTGTTTGCCTACCTACCGCACCGCGGCACACAGGACTGTCTCCTGCTGACTTCTGAACACTGTAGACAGGTCAAAGCACTGTGCCAGAATCACAAGAGTGATCCATCTAAGTCTGGACTGTGGGGTGGCCTCCAGGTCTCACTCGATCTTGAGAAGGCTTTTGATGCCATTGACCGAAACTTGGTACTTCGAGCCATACAACGATTCGAGATGAACCCAGACCTTCAACTCCTAGTTCAGTCTTGGCAACACAAACATAAGTACTGCATACCCCATAAAGATTTAATCGGACACGTCACAGCCAGCCGGGGCATAAAGCAGGGGTCCAAAGATGCCCCTTTGCTATGGACCTTGAGTATGTACCTGCTCCTCGACCACTTGATGGCCAGTTTCGATCTGCCTTGGATCATTTCCCACATTGTCATCTATGCAGACGACATTCACCTCAGGTGGCTCATTGATAGTTCGGCCTCCGGCCTGTCGGCCCTACATGATCTAACTGTGGTGCTGGGTACACTCAAGGCTTTCCATTTTAGGGTCAATCTGACCAAAAGCGTTGCCATTATGCGCCTTGTGGGAAAGTCCGCTCAGGCGTTTTTGAAACGATGGACGTCGAGACCAAAAGAAGGACCTCGTTTGCACCTGCCAGATCAATCCTTAAGCCTTCCTCTTGTCAGTAGGACTGACTATTTAGGTGTCACATTGAGCTATCGAGCATTTGATCACGACACCGTTGTTCGTAGAGTCAAAGCTGCAAATGTTTGCTTCCGTATCTTGAGGAAATGGCTCCTGGATCAGCATCATCCATTGCCAATCCGGCTTCGGTTGTATAACCAATGTGTTTTACCCACAGTCTCATATGGCATCCACGAAATGGGGATTTCAACTCGCAATTTCCAGATGATCAATGGCATGATCACCAAACATCATAGGACCATGACCAAATCCCCTGTGCACCTCACCCGTGAAACCAACACCGCCTTCTATTCACGTATGCACATTGAACCTCCAT